AGGCAATGGTTCATGTAAAGACAAACTAAAGAATTGGAAGAAAAGATTACATATAAAACACAAGACAAAATAGAAATATTAAACTTGGAAATAGAGAATGGTGAAGGTAATCAGTTCTTTCAATAAGAATGTGTAGTTGGGCACTTGGAATGGAACTCATGAGACACGAGGTATGTTGATCTGTATGTCACTGCTTAAATTCTAGACTCTGATTTGACTAAACAATTCAATAAATTTATGATATACCATGAAAGAAGGTGTTGATGGAGAAAAAATATGGCATTTTGATCATAACTCTATCCAAATCAAGAAGACAGTGTACTGTCCTCTTAGGTATATTTTTCCTGAATTGGATTCAATGTGTTACATGTTGTAATTCTGACTCATAAAAGTTGCTGCAAATAGAATGAAGCAACAAATGTTTCATGGAGGAAAAAAGGTTAGCTTAACCAAATAAGTTTTCATTTTGTTATATTTCAATGGATGCAAAAATGGAAAATGCTTTTAAAGGAAAGTGTTTTGTAATGTTGTGTTTCTAGGTTTCAGGCAATGCGGCTTGATTCTTTTCCACCAATTTTGTGTCTGGATAATACAGTAGAATCACACTGAGGATTTCTAGGAAGAGAAATGAAATATTAGTCCATGAAAACATATTTATTCTATACTGTAAATATTTTAAAGGCTCAACTATTCGTTTACAAGTTGGTACATTTGATAATTGCAGTTGTTCCTAAAGGATATAGTAGGAATGATGGCTTAAGCATAGACAAATCTTAGTAGTATTTCTGACAAAATATAAATATTTAAATTGTGTACAGTGCTCCTATGAATGCATATGTACCCACCTGAAAAATAAATGTCTGCACATCTCTTTATCATGTCATATGTAAAAGACTGCATAAAGTGAGTTGATTCCTTTAAAACAGAAAGAGATCACATGGAAAGGCTAATTGTCTTCTTCAGGCATTTAAATAATCCTGTGTTTCTTAGTTGACAGAAAGGTTAAACTGCCCTGCTCTGGCCCTCTCTGTCCTCTCTCCCTGCTGTGATAGTTCAGCACTCATTAGAAAAGAGGATCTGCACACTCTTTGATACCAAATCCTAGAGTGTAAAATAAGTGCCATAAGTTTTATGCTATTAAAGCCCTATCATTCTGGACTTCTTTACAGTTTTGACATTACTCCAGGCACTCTGACTTGAGAAGGAAAGAGGAAAATAACACCTCTGCAAATACTTAAGATGTTTTAGATCCTCAAGGGCGTCAAGGCATGATGTCAGAGGAGATCAGGGAAAGGTACACCGAGTCATAAAACAGGTTGGTTTAGAAGGCAGCATGCCTTGGAAGGATGGATGGATGGATGGATGGATGGATGGATGGATGGATGGATGGATGGATAGATGGATAGATGGAAAGCACAGTACCTGTCTTAGGTACTCTTATGATTTATTCTTGAGAGCAGCTGAATTCTTACAAAATGTTTCAGTCTTCAGGATATAGGCTACATTTAAAAAGTATAAAGCCATTGAAAATGTGATGATTAACATGACATAGAGAATAATTTTAACAGTGGCATTTTTATTGATGTTAATTCTTTTCATAAAGGAGGGGCAATGACTATGACCTGTACAGGCTTTGCTGCTGTTAAACAATTTCTTTATTGAAAATCACTCAAACACGATCAAATTAGCTGGTGATAAAAATCTCAGGTAGCTAGTGTGCTAGATATATATGGTTTAAAGGTAAGCAATATTAAATGAGCTTTTCAATCAAGCTTTTTAAACTACATTTAAAGTACTTTTCTGAGTGATTGAAACTCTGTACTCTTTCTCTTGGGCAAATTAGAAGTACAGAGTTTTTTTTGTGCCTGAATCATGATTCAAAGGTAACTGCCTGATTATTTGCCTTGTATAGCAATTACATTTCAAATACGAGTTTGTCAGAAATTAGGTCAAGCCAGTTGTGTGTGGTAAATGTAGTGAAATATGACAAAAAACTTCATATAATCTATTCAGTATATTCCAGTTTCTAAGCCTCCTACAAATATATTAATTGTGTTCTTTCCTTAGATTATATTAATTCATGGCAATAATGTTTAACATATATGCTTATAAATCCAATAGATTTTATTTGAAGGTGTTTTGTCATTCAAGATATCAAGACTAAGTTTTCTATGCTGCCAGGTATTTTAATTTAACAAATTAAATAACTGAGCTTCAGATGTCCCTCAGGGACAGTAAATATATTATTTTGCTTTGATGCTGTTATAATAAGAATTTAAACAATAAATTTTACAGTAGTTGGTATACACTACATCCCTGCATGTCGCTGTATTGTTACAAACCAAATACTATGCCATATAGCTATAATTTCTATTCAAGATAAGTTATCTAATACTTGTTTAATTTAATTTCTAATTTTGGAAAGTTGCATTAAATTCTAGTTTTCTTTTAAAATACAGTGTTTCAATCCACTTCTACAAAAAAAATCCATGTAATTCAGATACATGCTTTTATGATTTTCTCCTGAATCTTTGATCATTGTGTTCCTTTTTGCACATAGGACTGACTTCAATGGAAGCAGTAGAAATACTCCATAGTTAAATTAGCTGGTAGTCTTACAGTAAGTGTAATTGGTGAGATAATGTTGAAATATTAGATCTGGAGCTATTTTCTTTCTTCTTGAATGAATATTTTCATTTAATTCATCTGAATGTCACTATCTCCAGTGTTTGCAAAGGGTGTGTGTGGCTAGATCCCCTGCATCAGGTCCATTGGGGAAGCTAGGTAACACTATTTTAGTTTCTGGAAATAGATCCTGAGTTCTTTTGGATAGACTGGCTCTGGCATGCATAGAAGATCCGTGTGTATCTTGTAAACTCTCACACTTAAATAGTAAGCTTCTGCTACTCACATGCTACATTGATGTTTTACATTTTAATTTTTAATTTTTAATTTGGGTTTTTGTTACAGTTCAAATAACATTTAGTTTATGGAATTTTTGCATCTTCTGTTCACTATAACTATGATTTAATAGGAAGTTTTTTCTGATTCTTCTATCCATAAATTCTATAATAAGAAAAATATTTTAAAAATACTTTTTGTTTAAAAAGAATCATCAGCTAAAAATCTAAAAATACAGCTTTTTTTTTTTTTTTTTTTCCCTCCAGGAATACATTACCTCACAAATGAAATCTTGGCTTTTTACTATGTAGGTTTATTTTATTACTTCCCGTTTGTCATTGCCATAAATAGTGCAGCTACCAAAACTGACCACAAAAAAATCTCAACAAGAATCTCTGTAAAAAGTGAGCTGATGAGAGTCATATGAGCCTGAATAACAATAGCAGTGTACAAATTTTTTAGCTGATAAGTGTGAAATAATACACAACAATTTCAGGTGACAAAATATATTAATTAATGAAAGAAAATGGATATTTTTCTCCTTGTTCACTTTCCAGTTGTTCACCATTAAAAGATAACCAAGAGACAGAAGCTCTAGTTTATTTTCAGTGCTAAGCTGCAAGTGTGAAGTAATGCTAATTGCAGAACTTCCTGCCAGAACTCATAATGTTTGCCACCTAAATAAATTTCAGGTCTAGCTAAAAAACTGTCTTTTCACCAGGGAACTAAAGTAAAATATAACAAAACCCCAAACAAACCAAACCAAAACAAAGAAACAAACAAATTCCAAAATTCCAAAACAAGCAAAAAAAAAAAAAAAAAAGAAAAAAACCCTTCTGATTAAGCATCACAGTTCGAGGTTTCTGAATTGACTACAAGCAAGTTTGTCACAATCAAAATGCTTGCCATTATATGTCTGAGGTGAAACCATTAAACTTGCTATAAACTTGTTATATATATGTTATAAATTCTCATTTCCATACCCTTATTCTCCCCACCATGCTTCTTAGTAGAGCCTGGAGTGAAGACTTGCAGTAGGTTAAATGAAAATTCCCTGGGGGCAGCAAGTCTTCCAGAAAACAGAGACCCTAGTACTTGCTAAATCTCCTGTCTTGAAACCTTGACACAGAGGTGAAGATGCAGCATGTAGTTTGACATAGGAACTGATTGCCATGATAGATCACATGGCAACTCAAAGAAACAGCTATGTTTAACAGAAATGTTTTGTCCCCTCTATCCAAAATATATGACAGGATTGAGGTTTAAAAAGAAACAGTTGCTTCAACTCTCTGATCTTGCAATGATTTTTGTGCTGCACAGCTTTGTCTCCACAGGATCTCTGCAAGACGATGGGCAAGGATTGTATGTTGAATTAACAGTACATTCAATACATGATAGGTTTTTTTTATTTTCCTTCAAATGCTTCATCTGGGACATGAGAAAACAAAGTTCAATCCTTTTACCTTTACATAAAGGCTAGATAGCCTACAAGGGAAGATGGAGATGGTGGGGGGTAAGTAGCAGTAGCAGTCACATACAGTGGTCTTTGAGTCAGGGTCTAACTCTTGGAGGAAGGCAAATTCTCTTCTGACCAAAGCATGTAGAAATTTTCTGTGCAAAGCCAATGTCATAGACGAATTTTTTGGTAATCCATATTTGTATATAGTTGCTCCTTAATCGAAAAACTCTTATTAGCTATAATTGCATTACATAGACAATATATTTTTGCTTCCTGAGTCTTGGAGAGAATAGTTTTCTCTTTCTTGAGGGAAGAAAGGAAAAAAACCCCAATATTTTAAAACTGTCACACTAATTTATCTGTCTTTTTCTTTTATACAAGCTAATCTGAGCTTGACTATGAAAAACAGCTTTGAGTTGGCAAGCCTGAAGCCTGATTGAACTGCTGAAGAACAAATACAGTACTTTATACCACAAATAATGCAAGAAAGTTGGTTTAGTATTTCTGTGGTAGACTGGCAAAAGGAATTATCTAACTAAAATATGTTCCTGGATCCATTGTTTCTTGACAAAGCCACCACTGCGCTCAGAAGTCATTGAAATTTCATTCTCCTGTTTTGTGTATTACACCACCAAATTACCTGCATGCCCTCATCTTCATAACTTGTAACACAATAAATGAAAAAAAGAAATCGAGTCATTGCAATGGTGTTGTTATTTGCTCAGAGTTGAGATGAGATATACTATTACTCCCTTCAGGATACAGACATGAACTTCTAGGGATTTTGACAGCTGATTCATGACTTTTAAAAGATCTGTCCCCATTGTATTTCAGAAATTAAATATGAACAAACTTGAACAAACTGTATAAACATGTTTAGATCTCAAAGGGAATCTGAAGGATCTGCAGTACTGTGCCCAGAACTGAAGAAAAGTCTAAACATTTTCTCAGGAAGCCTTTACATGTGAACACAAGTAATCAAATTATCTTGAAGGTTAAGGAAACTGCATACAATGCAGCAAATTATTTTTCCCCCTGGAAGGCAAAATAAATCTTGTTTCAGTCAAGGAAGTAGAGCAGATGGCAACCTTAAGTTAAGCAACATAAACACAAGAACAGATTCATAATAATAATTGTAAAATAAGATCTGGATGGCTAAATCAAGCTACTATTGTTTTCATATTGTAGCACTAGCAAATATTTGAAGTTTTACTTACATAAGTAACACTTTTGTAACTTTCAGGAAATAACAGACTTATAAGACTTAGTTACTGTGTGGAACTTTTCTTTTTGTGTTGCTGGTAGAAGAAGAGCGTTGGGATTTGCATTTTACCTAGTTTTCAAAATTAATTAACCCATACAGGTAAGCCAATCTGCTGGGCTAAAATCAGCCCAGGAGTTCAGGTAACCAAGGAGCAATGCAAAACCTTCTAGGCATGAAGGGAATAAGCTGCCAAGTAGACTGAAAGCTATGTAAAGGAGGAATGTCTTGTACATAGTGAAATCCATGTCTGCCATATGATTTTCATGCTACAGTTCAAAATCTGTCAGCATTGAGAATATGCAGAGGATTAACATTTCATTATGACTCTTCATGGAGTGCAAAGAACTGACAGAGGAAGGAAATTTGATGTGGAATTTATCTGGGCAAGCATTAACTCTGTCTCTGTGGGATTCAACCAATGAAGGCTAAGCACATCTGTGGCACATATCCCAATAGTGGCATACATCAGAAGAGGTGGAGACTCTTTCACTGAAGAGCAAGGAAATGTCTAAAGTTATTATTATCTCTGTATGTGATGTCAGCTTGGATTTGAATCCAAACTTGAATTCAAACCTCTTTGTTGTTGTTCATGTGTTGATTTTTTCTGTGGTCTGATGCTGAATAAAGCATCTGGTTCCCAGTTGGGGAAACTCAGATCTGAAGCAAGGGGAGGAGCTGAGTTTTGTGTGACAGAATGGATGTGACTCCATGTCTTATATTAAGATCTTGGCATTATTTTTCCAGACTCTTAGATTTACTGAGATTAATAAGTTTTAGATAAAGTACTGAATACTGCCCTCAAGCTCATTTCATATGAAATACAATACTGTGATCCTTCTGTAGTTGAGTTAATTTTGTCTATACTTTCTTGCCTTATTTTTTTAGGATGTGTACGACTTTATATTTTTTGCTCTTTTTTAATCATCAGGAACATTTCTCAGTAATCATGGGCCTTTGAATATAAAGAATAATCCTGCAATGATCCTATTTAGCTCCTTCAGTATATTTAGATGCTTTGATGTCTTCACACTGACTTTGGTGTGTAAAATTTTGGTGTGTGTGATTTCTAAGTCAGTTTCTCTCTGCTGGGGGAAGTGGTTTAATTCCTAAAGACTGCTGCTAGGTTTAGGGACCTGGTGAGCCTCTGAGCAGACCCTGTCAGTAAAAACGAGACAGAAGTAGCTTTAAGTCTTTTCTGCATCATTTATCACTAGATCCCTTCCCTATTGAAAAGTGAGATTACATTTTTGTCTTTCCTTTTGCTGCATGTGTACCCACAGAAATCTCACTTGTTGCCTTTTACATTCTTTTCTATTTCCAACTCCAGTTTCAAATTCTGGCTTTTATTTCTCACCTGTATGCTTGAGCAATATTCTCTGTAGTTCTCGCAGGTCACTCCTTCCCACTTCTACCTTCTTATGTATTTTATTTTTGCATTTAAGCTCAGTCATATGTTCCCTGTTCATCTATGCTGGCCACCTCCCATGATTACTTGACCGTCTGCACATTGGAAAGGACAATTGTCTTTGAGAATGAGCTAACTTTCCTAGGCTATACAGGGCCATTTTTTTCATGTGCCCCCACCAATCAGATTCCAGAAGAAGCTAAAACCTGTTATGTTTGAAGTCCAGATTTGTAGCTCTGCTGTTCAACTGATTTTTAGTTTTTAGAAGTAGGCTTTGTGAGGCTTTAGAAGGTTTGTGGATCAGGTGGTCTGTAGCAGATGTTCACTTTGACATCACCCATGTTGGTCTGTTCTTGACCAGCTTGCTCTTTGCTCCAAGGTAAGTTCCATGTATGTTTACTGCTCCATTGCACTAAATTCACCCCTCCTGCTTGTCTTTCTGTCCCATCCATGCTGAAGGGCCTGTATCCATCTGCTGTACCACTCCATTCATGAGTCATACCCTGTTACATATATGTGATCTTAATGAGACCACAGCTCTGCAACTCATAGGCAGTCTTTAATTTCTCCAGCTTCTTTCCCATGCATTGTGCAGACACTTGTAATGAGTCTCAAGGTTCCACAGCAATAATGACAATGCCTCCATCTATATGGATTTCTCTGTTTCTCTTCATTTCCCCTCAAGCCTCCACTCTTCATATATTTTCAGTTTCCCCAACAGCCTTTTTTAAAGCCCATCTCAGTGAAGTACCAAACTACTTTGCAAAGAAATGCTTCTCTGGCTTTGTCAAATGAATTGTTTTACTTCTCAGGCAGTTTAAGACAGCAACAGTGTGGGGAAACATCAACCTCTGAGCAGGTGATAAATCTGTGCCTTGGATTGTAGGTTGTCATTAGCTGTGAAAACTATGCTGACATGCATTCCACTATCTTTTTGTTTGTCTGCACTGAATTCTAAACTTGCTCTTGTCGAGCTAATTCAGGCTGACAAATGAATTATCTTTGGTTTTACCAAGTGGGTATTCAAGGTAGCCCTATTTTGAGGCTACAAGAAGAGAAAGATTTTATGCATTTATGAAATTGGAGGTCAGAGTTCTGAACTCTGCATAGACTGATGGTTTCTGTCTTGAAGAAACAAGATGCCAGCTTAGTATCCCTGCAAGGGACCTTCTCTGTGTAAGAAAACTCAGCTGTAACTGTGAGCCAGAAAACCCCATTCCTTGCTAGGGAAACCGAGTACCAAGTACTGCTGTACTCCTAAGGAGTTTAGAATTCAGTGAATGCCATAGAATCCCTGTGTGATTCTATAAAATTCAGCAGCTCATAAGCAATGCTGCTACCTCATGTCTTCTCTGTAGTGTTCAGTGACAGATCAAGAAGTTGCAAGTTGAAACACAGGAAATTGTACTTTAACATTAGAAAACATGTTTTTATTGTGACCGTGGTTAGATACTGGAAAATCTTACCCAGAGATGTTGTAAAGTTCCTGTCATTTGTGCTATTCAAAGTCCAACTGTACACAGCCTTGATCAACCTCTTGTAGCCAACTTTGCTTTGAGCAGGTGCCTTGGAATAAACAATGCCCAGAGGTGCCTCCCAGTTTCAAAAACTTTGTGATAGTCATTACTATCAGCTAAAAATCTGTATTTGTTCAAGATGATGAACCCTTCTGAATTCTTGAAGGCATTCCAGCCTTTTGACTTAAGAAGATTTGTTATGATAATTTTGAAAAGCATAGGTAAGTGAAATGTGGTGACACATCCCACTCCACTTAGAGCATTGACTATTAAGGAGATCTGTCCTGTCTTTCCATAAATCCATTGAAGAAACCACCAAGCAGAATTCAAATACTCTTATCTGTTGGCTGCAGTTGAGTTTGTATTTATTTATTTACTTATTTCCTTTATCTGAGCTCTGGATTAAGGTCAAATGAAGAAATGGTTATAGGCAGAATCATACTAGAGTCATCAATGATTTTATGGTGCTAATGTCATTCTTAGTATTTTAGACATAAGCATCAATGTCGATGTTCAAAATTAATTCAGTTGTTAAGACAGAGTCAATTTTTGTGGTAAGCACTTCTTTTATGAAATTTCTGTCATGAAAATCCTAGGGACCGTTTAAAAAAATCAACATCATTATGCATACATTTTTCTTGACCCATATTTTCTTAAAACCCTGCTTTATCTAATGACTTTTGTTACTCTTTTCCAGCATTTCTGAGCATAACATTCTTATGTAGGAGGAAAGAATACTCTTATTTTGGAATATTCTTCCACTTCTTTTTTTTCATCAGACATGTTTACATTTTCAACACACATTTCATGAAAGGTAATAAATGAAAAAATTATTATATTTTTTTCAAGTCTTGCCTTTTTTTTTTTTTAATATGGATTACAATACCAATATTGCTTTTCTGCCTGAAGTCAATCATTTTGGAGTCTTTGCATTACACAAGTCTAGGACTTTTGTCACATCCATTTACACTTTAGTCATCTTAGAATATTTGCTCTGTCTTTTTCATCATCATCATTGTCTTTATATTTCAATTCAACCTATAGTAATGAATTATTACGATCATTCTTCACTTCCTCCTTCCCTTTTTGGATGTAAGGTATATAGAAATAAAGATGATACTCTAAAGCCAAATTGAACAGAAAAAATAAATAGTATGTCAGTGAAAGAGATTATATTATACAACAGAACAAGTATATTGGTAGTTCGTTAGAGTTGTGGTAGCACCCTAATTTTCCTTCTCGATCACCACTGAATATATGTGGATGTGGTTGCTTAGTTTTTATTGCCTATAAGAAAATTAAAGAGCCAACATAACTACTTCTGGATAGGGAAGTATTGAGTGATGGCGATACTTTTGATAAAGGAATTAAGGAGAAGTAAAGAGATAAGCCTGATTACATCTGTAAAGTGGTTCAAGTGAAAATTACAAAAAAGGCCATGTGGGAGAGCTGAAGGTCAGTGACAAA